CCCAGACCTGTTCATCTCAGGCTTCAAAAGAGCTTCACAGGAGCTTACTTACATCCAACAAAACCCTCAGCACACACAATACCGGGCTGCGGCTGCTTTATAGAGGGGGAGCACAGTTTTCCTTCAATAACACCCAGGGAAATAAAATAAAAGGTTGAGTAAGAGAAAGACATCAGGGGGTTGAGGGTGAAGTAGGAGAGTATTTCAACATTAGAGCTGATAACACAAAGAATAATATCCTGGAGTGCATTCTTCCCTTTGTTGCCATCCATGCCCCAGATCTACCAAAAAGCCATAGCCTCAGAGAAAGCTCTCTATCTAATAACTGAAAATCCAAAGCTGTGTAGTAGGTGTGTATTCATGGTTAAATAGGTCATGTTGTTTGGCCGACCTGACCGAGGGAAACCTCCCTAGAAAACCAGTTGAAAGACTAAACAAAAGACAAAAACTGCTAGAGGTGGAATTACTCTAAGGAGGTCAGTCTGTGTGTGTGTGTGTGTGTGTGTGTGTGTGTGTGTGTGTGTGTGTGTGTGTGTGTGTGTGTTTGTTTGTGTGTTTTTGAGCATGCGTGTTCAGATCAAGTTCTCCCAGTGAGGAATCTGTCAACTTCTTAAGCCTGTCACAAGTCTGTGCAGGGTGCTCTACGCCATTAAAATCATCACAGTAATTAACTTAGCAGCAATGTTGTGAAGGTCGACTGGGTGCCTAATTATGTCATGATTGTTGATCGAGTGACGCAGGTTCCCAAAACCCGGAAATGAGTCAGCAGTTTTGCAATTGTGATTCCCTCGTCTAAAAGTCGATTGGTTATTGAAATAGGATTTAGTTTAGTTTATTGGTTTAGTTGTCAGGGACCATGTACAAAAAGAACATCAATCATAAAGAGATAAATTGCTTTGTACCAGATTATAGCAGTTTGCTAATTTCCATCTGCTGTTTCTGGGCAGGTCAACACAAAATACAGCACATACAATTCAATAACAACATAAACACATATGATATCACAACATATTTCATACACGCGCCATAAAATATACACTTCACATAAAATTTACATTTCTATTTTGTTACGGCCAAAGCATTAAAACAATGGTTGTGACCAGCAACATATATTTACACGCCAAACCCGATGGAGTTTACACAAACAATATGGTTTTATTGGATATTTTGTCAAATCACACTAACTTAAAGGGTACATGTCTGGAGGACTGGCCAAAAAAAAATAAAGATGGAGGAATCCTGGGCCACACCATGGGCTGTAGGTGCCAGCCACACCATGGTTATTTAGATGCCTGAAATAAGCTCTTCGACCAACACAAGCTTAAGAAATGTTTACATTTTGTTCTACCACATTAAATACTTCCATTAATTTACTTAAAAACAATGAAACAAACATATATTAGCTTGTATAACCACTGGCAACTCCCATAAAGTGGTGTCCATTGGTCAACTTCATCTTGCCGATGAAAGTGTAAGTACAGTGATTTTTCCTACAATAATCCAATAGAAAAATCCCGATGGTTTTTTGCAGAGGGAACCAGGGTGATGCTAACTTCCTGACGGGCCTTTAAAAATACATTACCCCTGCATCACTCATATAGCCCCTCCTTCTTTCTATGCAACATGATGTATAAAAGGAGTCATCAGGAAACTCAGACACAGAAGGAGAAATGTATTCAGAAATGCAGCAGCTGTAAATCCACAGCAGAGAGGGGGGGATGAAGCGTGGATTGTTTGGGGGAAACACACCTGCTCCACAGCTTTGAAAAAGAGATCAAAGCATGTCCTCTAATGACAGCACTTTGAACAACACACATGCTTCACCCCTGCATCATAAGGTGTGTATACTAGTAAAAGAAAAAATACTCTCACTGCCCACCACCCCTACTTTATATGTCATATCTCACATTACTGCCCAGTTGTGGGAAGCGATCCTCAAATTTGTGTATTTCTGCAGTGCGATGAAGCAAAAACTGCACCTGAGTTTTGCTCCTGCGTGCAGTTAGATGTTGAAATGTTCCTCCAAATCTCAGTTTTTCCTAACAGGCTGGGACAGGAGGGCAGAGGCAGCGAGAAACCCCACACTGGCTTTTCCTTTCTTCGAACACATCAATGCTTTGTTTTTGCATTTAACACATTTTTCACAGAATAAACAGATTTCTTAAATTATGAGCAGTTGTGTTTAATGAAATGCAAGTGTTATAGAAGTCATTAGGCAGCTGCATATCATCATGGACATCTGCATTTATCACATTAAAGAGAGCAGGAGAGAGGGGAGGGGAGCTACATTGCACTTATGTCCTCTATCAGATTCAATCCTTTTTAATTTGATGCAACACTGCTTTGCAATGATGCCTGTATAAGACCTAAAGGCTCCTGACCCAGCAACACTGAACGCTACAAAGCCCCAATCCACATAATCGTGCCGGCACAACGGAACAATGCATAGGAGTTTCATCTTTTATTCAGCAGGGGACTTATGAAGAATTAAACTGACATTATCTAAGAGGCTTTAAGTTGCAAGTTAAATATCATGTTCACCTCACAATGAGATAATGTGTTGTTACCTAAAGTGTCCTCCTGAGTTATATTTTGAATGCCAAGAATAAGTGTATAAATATGAGAGTAGCCTGTATGAAATAAGAGTGTAGCAACAGATGGGAAGCTGCTACACCTAGTGGATTTAAGGCAAAAGGGCGAGAACCATTAGAAGCAAGGCTTATGCACGGACATGCTTATTATATCTAAGTTAATTAAGAAACAGTAAATTGTCTAAATCAGAACGGATCAGTGACACTCAAGTGGTTGCGAAAAGCTATGCAAAAAGCAGAGATTTAAAGGAAAGAAATGTCCATGACCTGGAGATCATAAAGCAATTATTAAGGAAGAAATGGAGGTCAAACTTACTTGTTCTTTGGTTTAAAAAATATATATTCTACAGTTCAGCCAAAGTCAGTCATTTTTGTACAAAACGTAATCTTACATTTATTAAAGCAGAAAACACTGTGCAGGAGAACAACATGAGAAATTCAGACTAAAAGGACTTTACATTGGGTAGATACACACTTGATTTGTTTTATTAAGTTTGACATATTGTTATAAGCCGAACTTCAGAAAGCATTTTAACACGGAACGAGGAGCATGATTTTGTCCTCCTACGCTGGAATCAAGTTAGGCAGGAGTCTCGTCAGGGTCAGTATGCAGAAGAGGAAGTATTGCAGTGACCAAAAACGGTTTTAATTCTCATATAAGCGTGTGAGTATTATATTAAGACTCTTCCTCTAAAAATGTTGCATTATCTATTCTCAACGGAGGTCAGTCAGTATAATGAATAACTCCTAAGGATATTTCCATAAACATATTGCCATTCTTCATCAATTTACTTGTATATTTTGTGAGGAATTGGATTTCCTCTACTTTCTTTCATATAAGTCCCAAGTCCCATTGCAAACATCTGAAACAGCAGGCTGGGGTTATGGGGCAATCAAAGTCATTAAAGACCTCACTAACAGCTTAATGCTGACTTTCAATTCAGAATGGAGCAAATGGACTGTGAAATATGTGCTAATGGTAATAAGCGTTCGCTTACAAAGTGAGAGAGAAAAAGAGACGGATAAAGCCCTGTGCTGTTATCACTGAGTCTACACATATCCTTTCACAGAGCCAAAAACATGGACAAGGACAATTAAACCAGGGACTGCAAAGGGACAGCTTGGCGTAATACTGTGTTACAAAGTCCACTGTTCATTTAAAGTATGGTTTAAAAATACAGCTCACATATAACAAAAACACGTAGGCTCCAGGGTGTCCAAGCGCAAACTGAAAACACACGTTTGCAATTAAGACCATGTGAGACGTGCTATTTTGCAGAAAACATAATTTTTTGCAGACGTAATTTCACATCTTTAGAGGACTTTTGGCTGGATAAATATTCATTAGAGTGCAACACCTCCCCATTAGGGCCACCCAGATGAAGATCCGTCTACACAAAACACACAGTGGATCCTTTTCACTTTTTCAGTATACTGTGCTTTCACCATCAGGTTTTGGCTTGTCACGTATACTTCAATGGTACCTTGAATGATGTACACAGAAACTCAACATAGCTTTAACAAGTTTAAAAAGGAAAGCAAAGCACTTTGACTCAAACAGCCAGTGAACACATTGTTTAAGATGCAATAATAACTGTTGTTCTATCTACAAAACAAAGGTCTTGGGGCGTCTTTTTGTTCAAATTTGGTTAAAAAAACAACAGAGGGTCAATTGTTTAAGACTGTGTTTGCTACACTGTTAGGCCAGAATGATTTACCGTTTTAGTATGGGCGATAAATCAGCTTACATTATGCAAAACACAAATGTTTTTTTAATTATAGAAATTAGTTTGGACTCAACAGTCTCTAAACTAAAAAAAAAGTTTTGCATAAGCAGTATAAAACGGCCAATCTGCACAGCTATGAGCAGAATAATTATTTGTATCCAGGATTGAACAAAGCTGGCTGTATTGATCGTTTTCACAGAACACACATTTCACAGAAGGAAAGGGGAAGGTGTAAACAGTAACATTTATGAAATGGGAAATGATGGTTGATGTTCGTATAGCTGCTCTACCTAAGGTGAACCATAACACTAAATATTAACAGAAAAATCAATCTAGAGCCGACAGCACTGTGAGGACGGAAAGGCTTAAAATATCACCCCCCTATACTCGGGGACTACAAATGTTCTGGTTTTGTCCCTCTGGCATAATGTGTGGAAGAAACATAGCTTGCAAAAATTAAAGAGCATGGTACTAGATGTGAAGTATAAATGAAAAGGTCAGAAGCAGAGTAGCAACCAGAATCAACTGTAGAGCTCAAAACACACAAAATGTTTTTGTCATTAGACAACTGCATCCAAGGCTTGAGCAAAAGAGGAGATCAACAAGAGAACACAACAGGGTCAACTGTTTAATGTAATGTCAAACACATAAAATATATATTGTTTTAGCATTTAGATATGCATCATGATATAAACGACTCTAAGGGCTATCATAAATAAATATGTGTCAATGAAAAATTCTTTAGCATATGTAAGAGTGCACTTCACAAAGCCAAGATTCACCAAGTAAAGCCTATTTTTATTCTAACAGAAGTATAAAATACAATATCCCTGCATATTCAAGGCCAATAAAGAAAATATGTATTTTCCTTTAAGCTGGAAATGCAAGAAGAATAGGGAAAACAAATCGAGAAAGCTACTATAAATTCAATCTGGTATTCGTCAATAATGAGACACATGGCCTGATCAATATTCCTTTCATTAGCAGTGACCCCTGCTGAATCAGCAAAGGAGGATCCTCCAGATGCTTATCTTTGTAAGAGGGCATTTACAAGACCAGACAGTCATAAAGCTTCAGCTCCACTTCAGGTCCTTAATCAGGGCTTTTATAAGGTGCATGAGTTCAGCAGACACTCTTTTCCTCTTGTTATCCCCACACATGTACATCACCTAGTGTGTATAATGCTGCTTCCTCTCAGGAGCGGTGGTACAGGCTGTGGCCGAGCTGCGAGGCGTACAGATGTGCAGCAGGGAGAATGGGGCCGCGGCCGTATGAGCAGCCCAGTCCGTAGAGAGCTGCTGGTCCAGCCTGCAGGTGAACACTGAGGGGAAAACCTAAGGACGGGAAGCCTGGGGGGAATAACGCTTTGGGCCCAATGCCAGCCGCTATTTTGAGTTTCTCCACGTCGGCCTCCTGAAGCCTTTTAGCTTTAGCTCGTCGGTTTTGGAACCAGATCTTGACCTGGGTCTCGGACAGTGAGAGCGAGGAGGAGAACTCGGCCCGTTCTGCGATGGAGAGGTACTGCTTCTGACGAAACCTTCTCTCCAGGGCCAGGAGCTGCGCAGTGGTGAAGGGAGTGCGAGGCTTGCGGTTGGTTTTGTGCTTCCTCAAGGAGCAAACTGCTGGACTGAGCTGCCCTACAGGACATGGGGAAGATGTGAGGCTGACATTTTGCAGAGCACCTTTCCAATAGTTAAAGGTGGGGTAGGTCATTTTGGAGAAACCAGCTCCAGTGCGCTAGAATTTGAACGTGCACATGACCAATGAGGGCACGAGATACGTTTTTGCACAGATGGAAGGCTGACAGGCAGGTAGGCCATCCAGTTACTTTAGCCGGCCCGGCTAAAATGATTGGTCGTGCTTTTTACAGTACTACGGCTTCCACAGATGACATTTTTTTATGGATTTTTTGTCAAAGCACTTAAGATATTCATTGCTATCGGGATGTTAAGAGCATTCCATGGAATATAACAAAAAGTGCATCTCGAGCCGGTTTCTCAAACTTACCTACCCCACCTTTAAATATCCAAAGTACTAAATAAGGGCTGACATTATTATTTGTATATATGTATTTAACAGGAAATGATTCGACAACCATGTTGATACATCTGAATTATCAAGAGAATTGCAAAACATGGCCTCTAAAATATGTTTGATGCTTTTTTTTTATTATTTAATGTCACTTTAAAATAGTCGAAAAGAATTAAAAAACCAATCCGATTTTTTTTTGTAATCCCCATGAGCAGCTTTTAACATACAAACCACAAATGAGAGGAAACTTATTTAAACATTTATGAATTAACCTATTATTGTTTACGGTTCTGCCTTTCATTCCTTGTGAAAAAACCTCTGAACCTTTTAATTGTTTTCTTATATTTATTACAACTATGCCTATCTCACCTTAAATCTATCAATTATGAACTTTTATTATCTAAAACATGACAGAAGATTGAATCCTACCTTGGATGATTTAAGGCACTAAATATATATTAACGATTATATAAGGCATTATAACCAGTAAACGCCTATTAATACATCTTTCCAGACCTCACCCTGCATCACTTACGCTGTGGTGTTGACATCTTAATGGGGCTGGGTATCCAGGACACACAGTCCTCTCTTCCCGATGGTTCTGATTTCATAGATAGGCCTACTAAATGTTGAGGAAACTCCTCCGGCCTGTGCGAGTGATTTCGAGGTTTCCTGTCGGTCGCATGCAGCGGCCTCGTGTCGGACATGAGCGCGTCCACGCTGAAGGGCAGGCGCGACACCTGCTCCGCGCGCTTCTTCTTCTCCTCGTCTGTAGCGCACCGGTCCCTCCGGTCTCCAGGGGAAGGCATGCTTTCCTTTTCAGGGCCGGGGTCGATAACTAATTCCAATCCAGCCAACACATAACTTTCTGTCACGTAGTGCAAACATGTGGGCTCCACACGAAGACAAAAAAACTGTTAAGGAGTAAGTTGACAAAGTTGTGCCGGGAAAAAAAACTTTGGGAGGTTTTCGGGAATTTCAGTCATGTTGAGGATTTGGGGAAGGCTTTTGATTGGACGGGATCCCTGCGGGGCCACACCCCCAACTACACAGCAGGTTAGCTGCACATCAGCCTCATTAAGGAGTAATTATGCAGGGAGATGATTGTCTTAATCATAATTACCGACAGTAAGAGACTGTATTCAATTCACTCTGCACACTGAATATGCTTAGCTCACTTCGAAAGTATACAGGAAATGAGTCCTGATGGATGTCCTGAATTTCATATGCAAGGGACATTTGGATGAGATGGAGGCCTTGAATTTTGTTATAGAAAATGTACTAATATAAGTAAATCAATCCAATGTCCTCTCTATCCAGCTGGTGATGGCCTGCTGTCTCTCGTTGTGTCAGCAGCGAGAAAGAAAAGCATCAGTGTGACATCTGAAGAGCTACATTTCCACTTAACAAAAGCTGACAGAGCTCCTCATTCAAGCCCGAACTCGTAGGACCTGACAAAACAATTGCGATGGTAATCAATAAGAATCATGGAGCTTTAAAAAGTCAAATCTCACTGAAGAGAAAACACACACTTAAATGTGAGAGCCAGTTTGGAGATGGATTATGGTTTTGGGCAGGCTTTAAAATGACTGTCATTACATTGTTGTTATTAACACCTTGTAATTAGGTCTGTGGAATCCGGTTCTTTTAAGCAGGATTTAATGGTAATGATGGAAAATTGCTACCTTCCTGAGGTGTGTGGCGCCCGCTGCGATTAGTCCCAGTCTCTGCTCTGTTGGAGGAGACAGAGGCGTCTCATGCCCGTTTGAAGCTCGTACCTGTAGGACTCCGGAGTATTAGGAAACATCATGAGAAGTGCAGCCTCGCCTCTAACCACTGATATTCTGAGATTCAGTGTTCAGTCAACCAGGGAAAGACTTGCACAGCTGCTGATGCAAAATGAATGTGCTTTTTGCATGTCCTATAGTCTCCCCCGAGTTTCTATTTTTACTTTCATGTCTGTCTCCTTGTCTACCATGCAGGTCTATCCTAGAAGCCCACACATGTAAAGGCCACCTGTGCAGTGACTGCAGTGTGCTGTCCAGAGCTCTGTGATCTGTGTGCTGTCTGTAATCTGTAATCAACAGGATTACAGCGGCATCAGGGGCTCGGCTCCCCAGAGCCTCAACATTAGTCTCCATATAAAGCAAAGTGCACACACAGCATGAGCTCCCTCCACTGTAAACACATGCAAATCAATTAGGGGCTTACCTGTCCTTTAAGTGTGCTTCCTATAAGAAAACCTTTCCATTTGATAATCGTCTAGTTTTATAAATCAGTATTTAACATCACAGCTTTGACTCCTTATTCTGAAATACTGCACCATGCATTTGACAAATATATTGTAGGATAAGGGAAAAAACTGCAACAAAAATTGAATATATTTTTAATTCGACCTCAGTTTCATAGAGTAAATTAAGAGATAGATCATTACTGAAATTGCTAGTCCAACACATTTTTGCAGATAAACAGAAGTAGACTTTTTTTTAATTTGAGGGTGATTGAGCAGAGCATAAAATGCCCCCTTTAATCTTTCACCAGTGTAATCTGTCTTTGCAGTCTTTTTTCTTGGGCAATCTGATCATCCAATCAAAGGTAAGAGAGCCAGTCTCTGTATGTGGCCGAGCAGCATCAGACCAGAGAGCGAACGTCCTCTGCTCACATTGATCATCCCTAACACCAATTACTACTGCTCTCTCTTCTGCCTCGCTGCACCTGCATTACACATAAGCACATGGCTCAAAAGTGTACAGTTTGCAACCGGAAATCTTTATTTTGTATCAACACAAGTGCATTTTACGAGGAACTACAGACACATAAGATTCTAAATCAGCAGAAAAGTTCATTTGGATAATTATAAATGGTGATTCCTGTCCTGAATACAAACAATTAGCGTCTTATATTGAAATAATAGTCCACACAATTTTAGTGAGGATTGGGTCTATTTTTGCCACAGCGTTGTTTCGAGGACATGCTTCATGTCCAGAGAGCGCCCGCCACACACAGCATGCAGCCCACACACTTTCTTATTGCAGCCATCACGGGCCAATCAAGACTGACACCATACTTCATCTGGAGACAGTGAAAATAAACAACCCATACAAATAGAAAAGCACAACCACAAACAACTTCAACATAACTGACGTTCACTGTCGTTTTAAGTATAGGTGAGTAAGGATTACAGCCATAAGTAAAATGAGCTTTTAAGATGTCTTCTTAAATCTAGAGAGGAGGTCATTCGGGGTGCACTTTGGCCAGATGAGGCCTGTGTTATAAAGCGGACTCCCACCACTCCCAGAACTGTTTACTTACTGAAGCACGGTGGTTACAGTGTACTTTCTTAAAACTGCACTGTTGTTCTACATACAGAACAGTACCTCGCCACTTTGCAAAGCATTTCAACAGTAAAAAGCACAGAGAACAGTTGTGGCGCCTCACGCTGATTTGAATTTATGTTTAAGTCACAACAAATCTGACAAGGATCTACGGTGGGAACTAAACATTGCAATATATAAACATTGGGAAAATGGCAAATAAACAGGGCTGCCCAAAGTATACACAAGTGATATATCAAATAATATGTAATTTCCAGTTTTAAGTATCACATGGCTGCTGAACTCATATATAATCAATGCAGAATACATAGGTCTTACATTTATTGTAATGCAACTTGGACCAACAGTTTCAATCTAAGGGTAATTACCTCCTGAAGGTGGTCAGCTGTGTTTTCTCCTTATTGCCTCTTCAGGCCCCTCAGTCAGTGCAATCATTACTTCATGGTTTGTTGATGGATCTCACAGCTCTTCATTGTGTTTCCACATTGTTGTTGTTGTCTGGAGCAAGTCAGATTATAATTATAGAAGACCCAAAACTAATTAAACTCATCTTTTGACTGTAGAAAGCACTTTAGCTATGGTAAATCCCCATCTCACCGCAACAAATGACAGATATGCAAATGTGCATGTGATATTTTCACGAGTCTGAGGGCATGTGAAAACTATGACATACATTAACTGTAAAAAGTAAACCACAAATTAATATTCACTGATATGATCTCACAAATGTATAATTCAGAACTTCTTCCTGAAAATGAGCTGCGGCTTCAGTAAATCACACTTACGCATCTTCACAGAAACCATTTGGGAAATATTGGTCATCATAAGTTTAAAATCAGAAATGACAGAAGTATACGAACACGACCACAATGAGTAGGTGTGCTGCTGTGCGGTTATTAAGTCTCGGCGCTGCATATAAGAAGCAATGAGGAAGTAAAAGCATGTAATTGAACTCTTTTCTCTCTACATTAATGAACATTATTAGCCATACAAGGAATAAGTGTGCAAAACATGGAGACAGAAAGTTTGTCTAGAGAATCAGTGCAATGCTAACTTGAGGGCTGGATGAAAACAATCATCCATTATTATTAATCGTATTTGATATTTATCGCTGATTTAAACAATGGATGCAAACATTATTTTTTCAGAATGTTTGTGTTCCATTGGTGATGACAAAGCAACATGGGTTTTAGAAATAAGCCGGCCTATAAGGTAACAAGTGGACAACTTTTAGTTAAACCAACTTCACACAAGTGTTCAGTCAAGTGCGATTTAGCCCAGAAAAAACTTCACAGTCTCTTATACCCAACTAGTCATTTGCAGATAATTACAGTCTCAGACCAAGACAATATGTCAAAAGTCCAGACCCAGAGGATAGAATACCAGATCAAGGTGGACCAGCCATGGAGCAGCAGATCCTTAAGAGGGACTCTGAGTCCTGGATCTCAACAAGGAAAAGGATGGTCTCTCTCTCAAACTCAAAGAGCCCAGGAACCTGCTGCAGAGAGACCAAGGTGATCACCAAATAAACACAACCATCAAAACAGCACATCTTATTGAATTAACAATCAAGTACAGATACAACCAAATGATCCCCTCTAAACATTCATAAAGCCAAACAAAAGATTATATGTCAATCAATTCCTTGAGAATAAACCGCACACAAAAATAGCCTACAAAAAACGGCCTAAAAATACGGTATTAAAATAAAGTTTTCACACACACACACACACACACACACACACACACACACACACACACACACACACACACACACACACACACACACACACACACACACACACACACACACACACACACACACACACACACACACACACACACACACACACACACACACACACACACACACACACACACACACACACACACACACACACACACACACACACACACACACACACACACACACACACACACACACACACACACACACACACACACACACACACACACACACACACACACACACACACACACACACACACACACACACACACACACACACACACACACACACACACACACACCTCAAGCTGTGCTGTAGCCTGAGTAGATAAAGTCCTTTAATGGGTGTTAAAACAAAAGGAAACAAATGACATACAAGTGAACTACTTCCTCTTGCATTACATTTGACAGCCACTTCATACTCGTTCTCTCCCCCTCCCCGCCCCCATCACACACTTTTGCTGTGTTTCATCTCATCAGTTATTCAAAATATGTTTCTTTACATTTATAGCAAAGATAAATGTAAATGATTGGCAAAAATACACATTTAACATTCACTAGTGTTGAGGACAGCCTGATCGGTTGCGTCTTCTGTTACTCTGCAGATACGAGCAGAACTAAAAGACTCTCATTATTTAGTCAAACACTTCACAGCAGTTTGCTCTTGGCTTGAAAGGGGATAATGCCTGTTGACTCAATTAAGGCTGATGAAACTCTGTGACAGCACTTGTTTTCCTGCTAAATTTAACAACCTGAGCTTTTTCTGGAAATGAAAATAATGAAATGCTCTTCAGGAGTTGGTATCTACATAAAACAGACAGGGCACCATAATCACATTGTGATTTAACAAATT